TATGACAGCCCTCGGCGTCGGCTTCGGTCATAATGTAGAAGAGGAAGGGCTCGACATCGAAGTACAGTGTCTTGTGGTCGAGGAATAGTTTGGCCAAAAGGCACAGATTCTGACAGAACTGCTTATTAGTCTCGCCGTCGACCTCGAAGAACGACACGTTTGCCTTTCTGTAGATCTCGTCGCCTAAACCGCAGCCAAAAACACCGACACATAAGACACACATTGAAAGCACCGGTAGTTAACGGGACTATTGGTCACACTTACCCGGCGGGTGCCGACGGACACACTTATGTAAGTGGCGTTTGAGAATCAGCGGACTGTTGGTGTACTTCAGGCAAAACTCGCACACATAGAGCTTCGGTAAGCACTGGTACTCTTCGGGATAGGGAGAGGAGTACCACACCTGCATCTCATAGCGACCCAACTCGACCAGACCTATGCCGGCCCGATGTTTGGCCTCACGTTCGGTGACCAACTGTTCCTGAATAAGTTCGGCCGCCCGGGCCTGAGCCTCGCGGAACATATCCACGTCGAAAATGGGTGTCAGCCCTTTCAGGTCCGGCTCTCGGCTACAAAATGGCCATAAATAGACAGTTAGTGTCAATCATTCATAGATAGATCACCAGTAGTTGATTCCATACCTCGATGTCTTTTGTTTGTGCGCTTTGGTGGGCGACTTGTTGGCCACCAATTCCTTCTGCATCTCCTTCCTCCGGGTCTCCATTAGCGCCAAACACTTGTCCTCTCGGTTCCCGGGGCTGACAGCGGCGGCGGCACCGGATGTCGAGGTAGTGGGCGATACGGGCGCCGACTTTTGTCTCAACTCACGCCGATTGGACTCGTGGTCACCGGCGGTGGACTTATCGCCGCGGCGTTGAGCGCGCCTTACGTACCGCTGGCGGCAGTCATCGGCGGTCAGGTTATGATAAATGGGACACATGTTGAGCGTGGAGTGGGCGTCAAACTTGCCGCTCATGTGTCCGGTGCTGTCGCAGTCGGGAACGCAACACTTGCCGTCCGACTGCATGTCCAGATCCGACGAGTCGGCGTCTGAGTCCACGTGATGGTGATGTCCGACACCAGCGGTTCCCGCTTTGGCCGCCGCTTTCGCAGCCTTGGCCTCAGAGCCGGTGGTTTTAATCAGCGATTTTGTGCGCATACGAGCCATATAGGAGGCGGCGCCACGACCTGTGCCAATACGAATGGGACAGACAGTATGTGTTAATTAATTAATTAATAATTTGTAATTAAATAGAAGTTTTAATTAACAAACACAGAGCGGGAGTGTAACGGAAAATAATAAAACCAAACAAAACAATAATGATTGCAAACAAAACACACGAAGAATGCGGTGATGAGTGCAATCATTACCTCTCTTTTTACGTTTTCGTTTGCCGTTAACGGCCGGTGCGGACCGTCCGGAGCCGCCGGCGACAGCCGTATCGCTCAGCATCTCTTCGTCGGACCCTTTGTTGATCACATCGTCGTCTTCGCCGGCCGTTTGGTGGCCTTTGGGCGGCGTTTCGGTGGACGACTGTTTGGTCATCGAGCGGGTCAGCCGTGTCTCCCGTTGCTGTGCGGCGCGACTCCGACGGCCGGCGCCCGGTCTGCGGCCCCCGCGGCGGCCTTTGGCCGGTTTAGGCGGTGTTGTGGTCGCCGTCGACGCACTTGTGGTCGGGGAGGCGGTGGTGGAGACGGCGGTAACGCTATCGCTGTCCATATCGTCGCCGACGTCCTCCTCATCAGAGCTACTGTTTTTAGTTGTGAGACAAATGTGTAAACAAATTATTAATAACTATTTAATTATAATTTAATTAAATGTATTGTAAAACAAAATGCTTTCAATATTATTACTGCACTAATAGTGTGTGTGTTATGAAAAACACGGTTAATTATGTATTAGGCTAAATACAGTACTACCCCCGATGTAGTGAACACAGTGTCAGCATTGTGTTAGTGTCAGTAGAATATCTATCGTTATATTTATGGGATTATTAATAATGATCGTGCGATTAGTGTACCAGTTATACAGGCGTGCAATAGTGTACTGATGATAGTACAAAAAAGTACAGTTAACACATGATATTTCTGCACAATAGCCACCACATATACCAGGAGTCGATTGTATTTATAATAAAACAGGTATTATTATGTTAATACCTTTTAATTCTCGATAATACTCCATCTACTGGTTACTCATATAAACTCTGGGGGAATAACGGGGGAGTGACTGGGATAGCCTATACATACGTCACATGTGAGCACAGATGGCTGCCTACACATAAACTAGCGCTGTCCATATAGTCGTACAAACAGCGCACTCTGTATGCTATACTTCTATACTGTATACATTGTCACACATGTTGTTGTCTATTCGCCAACAGTAGTTTATGTGTGTGCAGTCAGCTGTGCTCATATGTGACGTCTATACGTCAGAGAGACAGGATACGGATATGTGTACAGATTCATAACAAAATGGATTGCCTATAAATAGAAATAGAAATAAATTATAAATAAATTATTTTTTCTAACATTGCATACAATATAATGATTCAAATAAAATGTCACTAAAAATAAAACTAAAAATAAGTATAATATTTCGCTTTTAATTCAATGCGAGAGAGAAATGACAAAAATCAATAAAATTAGAGATAAATAACAAAATATAATTATTTCGCAGACAAAAAAATCAATCATTAAAACACGTTAAACGTTCGCTATAGTGAACAAACAATCGCTACGTTATACTCTAGCTATGAAAGCGTGACAATTAGTGTGACAACTGTATTGTGTACTTAATATCGTGAATAACACTACAATCAGTGAAAACACACAAAAATCAATACCAATTAATACTAATCACTATTAATAATCACATCAATGGACACAATGTCTGTCTCTATGTCTGTAAATACCTGTCCGCCGGTTCCTCCTCTTCCTCCTCCTCCTCTACCTCTTCCTCGTCGTCCACCTCTTCAGCACTACTACTGTCTTCGGCCACCTCTTCCTCATCAACCACTTCCTCCTCGTCCTCCTCTTCATCATCACTCTCTTCGCCGGCGCCGTCTTCTTCATCATCGGAACCGCTCTTCTCCTCCTCATCCGCACCACTGCTGGCGCTCTCCATCTCTTCGCCGTCGAGACTACCGGTGCCCTCGTCTTCATCGTCATCAACGGCGCCCTCCACTCCCTCCTCCTCTTCTTCCTCCACGTCTTCGTCATTATCTTCATCACCAAAAACGCTGTCCTTATTATCATCGCTACCGCCGGCGACAACAGCGGTGGCGGCCGTCGCCGAGCGCTTGTCTGCAGCGCGTTTTCGGCGCCGACACCGGCGGCACACATAGCGTTGCCGTTCGCGACGGTTGCGCCTCCCGGTGCCCATCACTCCGGCTGCGGGCCTGTCGTGTTTGGCCACACACAGGGGATGGGCGCCGGTGTCGCACTCGACGCACGCGATCATCCGTTGGCCACCGGTGGCCGACTTGGGACCCGCTTTCACGTGCTTTTTGCCGCAGTATTGACAGTTACGACAGCGACGACACGACCACCCGTTGCCCGCCGTAGTGGCCACGTGTGGGCCCAGCGATAGACACTTCGGGTGGTACTGAATCTCGCACAGCGAGCACGTGATCAGCGACTGGTTGTGCGAGTGTTGGCCACACTTACGGCACTCTCCGAGACGGAACTGTTCATCGCTGGTGCTGTGCGACGACCGCAGCCGACCCCTCATCGAGCTGGACATCCCGGAGCGCTCTCTCGTCACGTCTGGTCTACTGTCCTGTCAGTTGGCTTGAGTCCAGTGGCGGCGCCTCCAGTGGTAGCGCTGTTGGCGTTGAGACCAACCCTTTTCAGACACACACCACGTGTTGAGTGACGCGATGTGTGTCACGTGACTCACGGATCGCGTGTCCCGAACACGTGTCCGGTCGGGTGTCACGTGATGTGTGGACACTACTCCTCCCCCACCGGCGGCACACAATTGGCCGATAGTGAACAGATGTCCAGTCGTGCTGTTGTTGTGTACCAATCAGTACACTATTGGCTTTAAATAGTGTTGCATTGCTTTTCGCAGTTAATTAAATGAGTTTTAATTAGTTATTAATTAATTATTCACTGATTATTAAAATAAACTATTTATGCAATCAATTGGTCGTAAATATTGTTATTATTTATTTGTAATGATTTTTGATGTGACGTTCGTTAATAAAAAACGTCGCTTTTAATTGTGATGATTAAAAGTTATTGTAATTAATAGTATTGTTATATTAATAGTAATAATGAGTTTTAATTAATTCCCGTAATTAATGGACGACCGGTTAAACTGCTGATCAGTTTTCGGGCTGTAATTCATTGAGTGATTAGTCTTTAATTCGTTGACCGAAAACTCAGTCACTGTTTGTTTGTTATGAACCGAACGTATCGTTCATTTCCATTGCATTTCTCAATCACTCACTTCTCTTGTGTTTTGAAGTTCAATGTTCTGCTAACGCCATGTCCTGTTCACTGATAGCGTTACGCGTTTAACCCATGTTTCTGCCCCCTTTCCCTAATAGTGTGAGTTTAATATGTATTTGTTATGTATAGTGTATAACATTATGAATACTATCTCTCCCCCTATACCTGACGTAACGTTTGTTGTGTTTTGAGTGAAAGTCCAGTGAAAAAAATGTTTTCAATTTTATAAGACTTGTGCATAAACTACGGCCAAAAACTTTATGTGATTAAAGTACGTGTGAATAAAATTACTTGGATATAGTATTTTAATTTTAGATTTTAACTTTAATCTAGTTAAAAATTTTAATTTATTAAAATACTATTATAAAATTATTTATTTAATTATTATATAAAAGTTTAAATCATTTAGCGTTGAAATTGTTATTTATTTATTGAATAACACACTATTAATTTCCATTACAATTATATACAGTACTTTTTAATTATTAATTAATTATTTTCTAATTAATTAAAATAATATTTTTATTAAATAGTTAATTTTATATGTTATGTTATAATTTAATTTATTTTATTTAAGTTAAATATAATGTATACATGTACTAGAATTATCATCAATATTATTGGCAACATTTTTATGTGTTATTTCGCTAAATAAATGCAACAGAAGTTTTACGATAAGAAATTATTAATAAATATAATAACATAAATAAATTACAATAAATAATAAACAACTTTTAGTTAACACTTTCTAATAACAGATAAGAAAATGAAATGCATTAATGAAAACACTTAATAATTTCCGTAACCAATGTGTTCACAGTCTAATGTCCGGGGGTTTAAGTCCGGTATACATACCCCTTAACCCCTACCCGTCTATCTATTAGATACTTTTACTAAAAATTTTACCTGTATTATTTTGTGAGCTAACTTTAGTACATGGCAAAGGTACTTTGATAAAGCACAAATGCCACTAATATCACCAAGATTATAATCAGTGCAGTAAAACGGAGACAAACAACTAACGCCTAAAAACAACTGCAATAGATAATGATTTTTCTCCAGAATTGTGTTGCATTTTAATTAAATTAATAGCCTATTAGTTATACAGTTAATAACATATAAATTGCAAGTTTTTATTTTTATTTACTTTCAATGTTGCAATTTTATGGCATATGAACATTGTATATAAATGCGATTGATTAATGATTATTTAATATTTTACTAGCAACAATTCACAAAGTTTTATTTGTTGGTTTTCAGAGTAAAATAAGTTGTATTTTATCGTACAAACTTATAAAACAAACTTATTTTATTTAAAAAAAGTTTGAAAAATATTACTAATACTATAATATCACCATATTAATTTCTTACAACTAAAAGTTATTATCACAATATTAATTAACCAAATGAAGACCCCTATCAAAGTGCTGATCACCGGAGCCACGGGTAGCATAGCCTACAGTCTACTACCGATGGTGGCCAGCGGTCAGGTGTTTGGTAGTAAACAACCCCTAATTATACACCTATTGGCGCGACGGGTGTTGCCGTTAAAGGGAGTGGTGATGGAGTTGGAGGACTGCGCCTACCCTCTGGTCCGGCGGATTGTGGCCACAGATAACGAGTCCGTGGCCTTCAAAGACGTGGACTCGGTCTTCATGTTGGCCTCAATGCCCCGACACGAAGGTATGCAACGCAAGGACCTCTTGGAGGCCAACGTTAAGGTACGAGTGCTTTAAATTTTTGGATGAAAACCCATATTTTTATATGAAAAAACATTTATGTGAAAAATGACAAAGTTTTGCTTTGAATATAAATGTGTTTTTTTTAACTATGGTGAACCAGATCTGCGCCGCCCACGGCCGAGCGCTGGCCAAATACGCCTCACCCAACGTACGGGTGCTAGTGGTGACCAACCCGTGCAACACCTGTGCCCTTATCACAGCCCAATACGCCTCCCCAGGTATACCCGCCCGCAATATAACCGCACTGACCCGACTGGACCACAATCGACTGGTGCACCAGTTGGCCGCCAGACACAGCGTGGACGACCCTGGTCACATCTCACACGTGAGCGTCTGGGGTAACCACTCGAGCACACAGTTTCCCGACTCGAGCAGCGCCTGTATCGACGGCGAGTCCCTGCCGTTCAAAGGCCACGACACGGCTTTCATGAACACTGTGGCCAATCGGGGCTTTGCGGTAATCGCCGCGCGTAACAACACTTCGGCCCTATCGGCCGCCAAAGGGGCCGCCGATCACATGCGCGACTGGTGGACAGGTATGTGTTAGCTCTGATAGGGATGGGGTGTTAATGATGAAAGTGAGTTAAAATTTTAATGATTTCTGTGTATTTAAAGGCACTACCGATTGGGTGTCGATGGGTGTACTGTCCGATGGCAACCCGTACGGCGCGCCCGACGGCCTGGTCTACAGTTTTCCCGTCACTATCGATAGGGAAACCCGAGACTGGAAAATAGTGGACTCTATACGGCCCGATATTAAGGCACTTCAACTGCTGGACACTACCGGACACGAGTTGGTCAACGAAAAGGCGGAAGCCCTGACCCTATTGGAAATTTAGTGGCTTCTTATTATAACTAGTTGTTTATTATTATTAACTTCTATTAATAATAATTAGTAATAAATTGTTATTAGTTAATTGTATGCATGTTTACTACTGGATGGCATACATTATGCAATTAACTGATTATACAATGTATTGATTAAAAAATTGTTAACATGTTTACATAAAATGAAGTGAGTTATTTATTTGATTTAATTGATTATAAATGTGATAGTGGAAAGTTGTTTTTGTTTTAATTTATAAATCTCTTATTTGTAATTAATTAACAGTGTCAAATAACTTAACAGATGATTTAGAAAATTAAATATTTATTCCCCATAAACATCTAGCTTATTTAATAAAATATAAAATTTATATTTACTACACTTTAAAGTACATTAATAACTACATGACAATTAAATTATATTTATACAGGTCTACATTTTACAATTAAATGTCGAAATCAAAGCCAAAACGACCATGAAAGATAATTACTTTATTCAAAAGCATGGAACATAATTCTATGATCTTTAGTACAAACGATGACAAAAATTTATCAATGCAATATACTGCATTCAAATTGACTAAAACTAATGTTTTTTAGTACAAAACTAAAAGTTACAGAGATATAATATCTCAGATATTACTGTTATATGACTTGTACTTAAAGCCACAGATTTGTACCCAAAATTAGTTTTCATTGATATAACTGAACAATCATTATAAGCAGGAATGTCCTAGATTAAAATTTAATATTATACCAAACATTATGACGCGATATTTGTTTAGTGAGATGTTTAGTATAAATACTTATAGATTTCTCACTATTTCAATCACGTTCATTTTAAACCTATGAAATATTATAGATTATACTTTCATAGCATATTAATACATAAATTAACTAATTGTAAAAATGGCAAAAAAGTTAACCATATTGTTTGCGTCGGATCAGGGCGTGGGACACGTGAACGCCTGCATAGGTATGGCTCAAGTGCTGTTGAGTCGGGGCCACAAAATTGTGTTCGCTGTCAACCAGTCATACGCCGGAAAGTTATCGCCGTTTGGTTTCATTGAAGAGATATTCACTTCAGCGAAAACAAGTGGTCAAAAGCCGGGAGAAAACGACGCCAAATGTGTGCTCGAGTCGGGAATCCTATCAAACCTAACGTCCAGTGAATCCATGAAACTTATGCACATTTTTAGCTTCTTTGAGGATTTGGTGGACACAATGCGGGCCAACGAACAGCAGCTTAAGGCGATTGTAGCCAAACATAATCCCGATGTGTATATCATCGACGACTTCGCCGCTCCGCCGACACTAATCCACTCAACAAACCCCTGGGTTTTCCTCTATAGCGGGAATCCATTGTCAGTAATAGAAGATGAGAGGACACCACCGGGTAATTCGGGTCAGTTGTAGTTGTGTAATGTACTATTAGATTGTAAACATGCTCATTTAATCATGTTATATTTACTGTACGTGAATACAGGCTATGCTTCAAATGGTGATCGACAAGAATGGGCGGAATTCAAGGAATTATCAAAAAATAAGTTTAAAAATTTAAACATTAAATACAATGAATGGATGAAAGAAGAGGGATATCCCCTAAACACTGGAAATACAGGCATTTCTGACTCGCCTTATCTTAATATCTATGGATATCCCGAAGAATTGGATTATATAGATCTCAGACCACTTCCGGAGAAGTGGTTAAGAGTCGACGCGTTTATGAGAAGAGGAAAGAAACAAGAGTTTAAAATTCCCGATAAATTCCGTGACAGAGATATAGAGAAAAGTAAATTAATTTATTTCTCATTGGGTTCTATGGGTTCAGCAAATGTGGATCTAATGAAGAGATTGGTGTCTATTCTCAGCAAAAGTCAGCACAAGATTATTGTCTCAAAGGGAGTCTTCGGAGACACATATGAATTGGCGGACAATATGTGGGGCGAGCCGTCAGTCCCGCAGACAAAAGTGTTGCCATTAGTAGATGTGGTCATAACACACGGCGGGAACAACACTATCACCGAAACATTCAGTTGTGGTAAACCAATGATTGTAATGCCATTGTTTAGCGATCAATACGATAACGCACAGAGAGTTCATGAAAAGGGATTTGGGATTAGACTTAATCCACACAACTGTTCAGAACAGCAATTATTGGATTCAATTGAAAAGTTATTAAATGATAAGGAATTGAAACATAAATTATCGGTCGCTTCGAAACGCATACTTGACTCCAATAGCCTTCAAAAAGCGGCCAAAAAAATTGAAAATTTAATTAAAATTAATTAAATAATGTTTAAAATTTCTGTCATTTAAATTACAAATAAAATAATTCAGTTAATAAAATAATTTGAATCGTTTATTTTAGTTAAAAGTTATATATTGCAGCAAAGAAGGATGTCGTAAACTCTATGTTAATTTGGCTAATAAAATAATTTTTATTTAACCCTACGGAAAAAAGTTGTCTAAATTGTATCTTTGCCGATTTTTAGTTCAAAGTTAATTCAATGCGATAT